TAGCTTCCAGAAAGTCTTCGGATGCACATCTGTATCTTGGATGAACCAGGTGCCGGCTGGGGCCACACCCTGCGGACTCAAGATTTGGTGCCACGCATCTGGAATTGCATTTAGCAGCTGTGCAAATCTTGTCTTGATATGTGCAACCCGCCCGAGTTTCTCTCTGAGTTCCAACACAGAGAGCCATTGTCCTGTCAAGGAGTTCCATAGCTCCGCGATTCTCAAAACTCCCCTCTCAATCCATGCTCGACCGAATGCTTCTTTGCTGCAGCTTGCAGAGAATGGTCTCCCGTTCGGGGCCAGAATGGAGGGGTATCAAACAGTGGCTGTAATAAAACTTCATCCTTGGTTACCGGGGCAGTCCAGGTGCATGGGCCCATTTTGCTCCAAGCCTGCAACACTCCTTTCCTGAATTTTGATCGAGTGCGTCGTCTCAGGAAAGAATCCATCATGCAACATGTCCAAACATCGCTCACTCTAGGCAGTCTCCAGTCAGACGTTAATAGTTGTTTCTGCTATAACGATCCAGTGGTCGTTGGGGTTGTTACTAACCGCTTTCGTTATCCATTTGACCAACAAGGCCATGTTCTGACGTCTGGGATCTAGCATACCCAGACCGCCTTCTGATCGGTCATTGCTGATAAGCTCCCAACCCACCTTCGACATGAAGCCTGTATCTGATTTCCCAAAAGGTTTCCAGATGAATCTGGCTACAGCATTACGGACTACCTTGAGAAGCTGATTCCCTAGAGGTCTTACCATCCATACGAACCAAAGTAAGGAGAACAGGGTCACGTCTGTGACCAGTGCCCTCCCAAACAGTGACAAATGTTTGGTAGGGCCCCAAGTTGTGATTTTTCTCAACACTTTCTGCTGAAACAAGTCATTTTGTGCGTCTGCACTTCTACAAAGAGCGATTTGAACTCCTAAGTACCTTTCTACATTGTCGCTTGTTACCTTTTTCATCCCCCATTCCACACTGATGACATACCTATCTGGCAGGAAAAAAACTAACTTGCCCCAGTTACCCCGGCTTCTGAAAGAGTTGTGTACTCCACCAGACAGGATTTGATGGCTCCGAGGGAGTCCACTGAGTTCTCAGAGACCACCATTAAGTCATCAGCTAAGGCTTTGACTCGACACTCTCTATGCTGTGTGGGCAAGCCTCTGATGCGTGAGTGTGCTCTAATATTACAAACTAGAACCTCTAGTTGCAAGCCGAATAGCAGGGGTGCCAAGAAACATCCTTGTCTCAGTGAGTGAGTCAGGGGAAAAGGGGAGGAGATATGGTCATTGATTGAGACAAAAGCAATGGAGCAGGTGTACAACACAAACACCCATCTGCAAAAATTGGGACTGAAATTCATCTTTTTTAACGTTGTGAGAACGTACGCCCAATTGACCCGATCATAGGCCTTCTCCAAGTCTAACAACATCACTGTTACATCTAACTGTTCCTGTTGTATTTGTTCAAGTATTTCAATCGCCGTTACTATATTGTCAAAAATGGATCCTCCCTGCACGAATGTCGCTTTCTCTCGGTCTACCAGATCTGGGAGACAATTGCCTAACCGTCTGGCTAACAACTTCGTGAGAATTTTATAAGATACATGAAGAAGAGAGATAGGCCGTCAATTCCTGATGTCAGCCTTGTCCCCTTTCTTGTACATTACAAATATAATCCCCTGCGTCATTCCTGCAGATAAGTAATCTCCTAATAACGCCTCATTGTAAATCCGAACTAGGTGAGGGATGATGACACGGCCATGTTGTTGATACACTTCTACTGGGAGTCTGTCTCTATTTGGCGCTTTGCACTTGGCCATGTGTTTCAAAGTTTCCATGATTTCTTCAACTGTGACTGGTCTGTCTAGACTTAAGCTGTCTGTTTGGGGCAGCTTCGCAGCGACCCTCGTCCAGTGGTCTGAACCTTTTAAGAGGTCGATGTGAGGGTCTTCATCCAGTCTGCGCGATGTTAGAATGTCTTTGAAATAGAGGACATCATACTTGCACATGGCTTCAGATGTAATAGCCTGCCTAGCCTCTGGGACAAACGAGTGGTGTAATTGTCTCATAGATTGGGATGCCATTTTCGGGAGTAATTGTTGGAAAGATTCCTTGGTCATATGATCGTAAACTGCGATTCCTTTAACTGTAAGTCTCTCTGCTCATTCGTCCGATTTCTTCTGTTGTAAGTCATTCCATTCGTGAATCAGCCTGATGCGTTCTGCGGCCCAAACTGAGGCTGAGATCGGGTGCAACTGCATCCTGTCCTCTACCCACTCCAAATCTTTGATGATCTTGTCCTCATCCTTCCGGTCTTCTGCTGCTAGAATTCTTGAAAAGACGCTCAAAAAGTTGGAAGCGATCGCAGTGCCTACATCCCACCATTCTCCCTGTGTAGGGAATAATACTTATGCCTCTTGCCATTTCCCAAAGAATTTATCAATCCATTTTGCTATTCCGGGGTCCTTGAGGTTCTGGATATTAAGGCGGAAGAAACGCTTACCCCTTTCATTGGAATTCGACAGTCGGAAGGTGACTCTCACTGAAGAGTGGTCTGACAGAGGGTTTTTCGGGACTTTAATGTTCAGAAGGGTTTCCCACCACGCGGGGCTGGTCAGCAAGTAGTCCAACCTACGGAAGACGCCTGCAGAGTTAACCTCGCTTGCTGACGAGCATCATGTGTATCCTGGTGATGTGGGATGCATTATCCTGTACGCGTGACAAAGTTTTAAGTCAAGCATGTAATCAGTGAGTGCCAGTATATCTGATGAGGTGACAACTCGATTTTGCAGATCGTCCAGAGCGCAGTCCCAGTCCTCCGTAACCACTATATTATCCACATCTGGGGAGTGCAAAATGAGATCTTCGAAAAATATTATGCGCTCTGATCTGTCGACTGACGCATATACCGTCATCACAACCCAGTTGGGACCGTTTGATTCCATCTTAACCCAGGCCCATCTACCCCAAAGGTCTGTCCCGTGATATTATTATCGGGAGATCGTGGTGAATAAGGATACCAACTTGAACGCCTCCCCTTGTTTCCACTGCCGATGACCAAATTTGTGGGCTATCCCACCAACCTAGCTCATACACCTTCTTCTCGTCGAGCTTACTCGCCTGTATGCAAATGATCTACGTCTTTTTCTGATGAATCCAAACTTTTAGTCTTGCCCTTTTCCCCCTCCTGGTAGTGTTTCTTAATCCCCTGAGGTTCCATTCATTCTAGTACCCTGCAGTCCTAGTTGGATGGGGGGGGGTTGTCTGTTCAAGCTCGATCTCGAGGTGGAGGCTGTGGCAGCATGCACCTGCCATTTTTGCGCTAACAGGTTCTTCAGGTAGATGGATTCCAACCACTTGTTACAAGGGAGTTTCTCATTGATTTTCGCAAGGAATGTTGCGTATGAACCCCCCTCGACACCCACCTGCTGCAGATAGTCTCAGTTTTCGTCGATGAAGACGGAGAGCGAATCAGTCTCACGCCCTCCTCCAGGAGGGCATCCAATCTGTCTGCAAGGATGAAAGCATCCAGGATTGGTGCAACACTTTGAGATTTCTATCCTGATGTTCAGGGTAAAATCTAGGCAAGGCCATGTCTGGCACCATTCCGATCGGGTATCTGTTTCCATGCAAATCTATGGCTGCAGGGAGGATAATCATTGGGGTGACAGGCTCCTCTACAGGTCTAGCGGGGAACCCCACTTTCCCATCTTCTGGTTGCCAGACGAGGACATGTAGACTGCCATTTGTGCGAGTGCATATGAAGGGGACTAGCCACTTTTCCAGGCTTGTCGTCTGTTCGAGAGGTTTTAGAGCCTGGCGGGGGTAGTGTCCGGTCTGTAGCAGAGTGATTCGAGGTTGAGGAGCCTGCTGCGCTAGTTAGGGAGGCTCTGGAGCCTTCCTGCATCGGGCTGTTACCTCGACTGCGTTCTCCTGGGGTGCGCTGATCGCTACTTGTGGCATGTGACCGGGCTATCCATGGTACCTTCATAGGAGATTGGTCTCTTGAGGTTCTCACGAAAAGGACTAAAGCGGAGGAGGTTGCTTCCTCATCCCTGTTCCTCAGTCCTGCTGACAAGCGTTTACTGTCCCTTGGGGAAACAATTCGTTGGATAGATCTCGTAGGTTGTCTCAACAGAGGTGAGGGCTCGGTGTTCGGGGGGGGGGGGGTGGTCGTCACCTGCGTACATGGCTGCCTCATAGAGCAGGTTCGACAAGGGTTGATATGGTCGAGCATCCTCCTGATGATGTGGTTATGAATCTAAACGACCGGAGGGGTATGGCCATCCCTCTTCCGACGGGCGTGCAAAAGCGTTGGGGTCCGTAAGACGCTCCACCCCTGGTGAGAAGATGGGGTTCATACTCGCTCTAACCTCTTCTCTAGGTGGAGGGGGGGATGGGTGGTAGGAGGCCCTACTGCGAGGTGAAAGTTCACGCCTTGCTGTCGGTCTGAGGTCCCCTTGGTATCGTGGCGAACCTCTGCTCTGCGTCGATCTGCCTCTCCGTGGCTGATGTAAGATAGAGAGGGACTCTATTTCTTCTTCCAAACCTCTACCATGTATGCGGTAGTCCCGATTGTTCCGGCCATTATCCGGATGGTTGTTGCTTCTGTTGCATTCGTCGGTTGTATGGAAATACCATCTGCATCTCGTGCAGTATGGTGTGCTGGCCGAAACGAGTTTGATCTTGATTATATCCCTTTGCCCTGAGCGGACCCAAACTCGATCAACGAGCCGATCCCGGAATTGGGCGTCTATCCCGCATTTGACGTTTGCCAGTTTTGGATCTGCACCGAACTGGTCAGGGGGAAAGTCCTGTATGACCGGCCCTATGATGTGGGACAACGCAACCTTGAAGTAAACACAAGCGTCCAGCGGTACCTGCAGACCCATCACCCAAAATTTATTCTCTTCCTGTATTCTGCGAGACTCCTTCTAGTCCGCTTTCGTCATCCATGGCTTCATTTCAAAATGGTAACTTCTTCCTTTGAGAACCACTTCCCCCTCTCCTTCGTTAACCATCCATTCCGCCACTACCTTGTCTTTTGCAACGTAAGAGACCATGTTTGGCCCTTCAAACTTTACACGGCCTCTTTCTACAGAGGAGTCGAATATGTCATCCCTCCTCCACCTATTTTCGAAAGCACGGACCAAGTCTTCTTTCACTTTTCTCGGGAGGTCATGTGCCTCTTCCCTGAACAAGATAACCGCCGTTCGTTCCATTAGCCAACGTATCTTAACTTCATCAATATCCCTGTTAAAAGTGACGACAACCTCATTTTCTTCTATGAATATGTCATTGAAGGGTGTGTCCTCCGACATTATGCCATCATCGTAGCACATTGATAGCAGCATCCTAAGTCTCTCATCGAAGGAGTCCTCCGGAGCACCTGGGGCTCCTAGAGGTGATCGCCCTTGTGAGGATCTAAGTTCTTCGATTTCCAGTTCGACCGCTCATGGTCTCGCCATGAATAGTGTCCCCGAAGCGGCGGGGCGGAACCGCTCACTTACACCTGAGCAGTATACGAAGTATGGGTTCAAAGATCTGGGTTACGCGAGAAGCCGAACACAATTCGGGTCGGACAGTACCGCCGATGAGCAAAAGATGAGGGACTCGAGATGGAAAGAGTAGGGCGAGTACAGATGGTTTAGAGGCCAACGGAGTTTGCAAAGATCTTCCTGACGTGTCCTTGCGTTGGAGCGAGATAGAGCATCGGAACGAGGAGGGCGAGACACTTGTGTTAGAAAGCGACCTACCAAACACTTCATGCCGAGATACCACACATCTTGAGGTAGGAGCGTGGACCTAAAAAGCCTACGCCAGAAGCTATCTCATATTCCACATCTACAAAACGTGGCACATTGAGACAGTTCCTAGTATGAGTTGCGGATTGAACAATGACTGCTAAGAAGTCTATGTGAGATCGTGCAAGAATTATCCTACTTTAGTAGACTTAAAGGTGGCAGTGGCCGAAAGTTACCCATACATCATGTCGTCTTCCGAATTCTTGAACGTGTGACTCTGGCTCCTGGCTCGACAAGGCCGTAGGGTTCGACATCTCTTTGTTCCCGCTGTTGCGTGAAACCTACCGTGGCGCAATATAGTACCCGATCCATAACAGAGCGTTCTTACGTTGGCGCCGCGACCCTTGGAATAACCTCACAACATAGCGTTAGCTAGGCAAATCCATTACTGTGGTAACGATCAGAGGAATCGGCTATGTCTGTCATGTGGGAGAAGGTGAGCATGAACGAGCACGCCGCTATGGTGAAACCCTAGCGAGCCACTTCCACCGTGGTAACTTCGTGCCCTGGCGGCACGGTACCCCGTGACAGGCCGAACAGACGAGGCGTAAACGAGGTTCAGTCGGCGACGCAAAATCCACGAGCACAAAACCAACAGAAAAAATGTGGAAAAATTTCATCAAGTTTCCAACTCGGTCACCGCGCCGGACCAACATTGGAAGGACGACAAATGTTGTGGCCAACCGTTGGAGCATCACTGTTTTATGTTTCCAACCGTTTGATCAACAAGTGGCTGACGTGTTTCCAACATTTGTTCAACGTTGGTCCAACGTTTTTCCAACACGTTTCCAACACGTGTGCGTTGAAACAAAAGTGCTATCAGGTTCCCATGACTGAAGTTGACTACTGTGGGCCAATTTAGGCACAATCGCATTGAATCCACCTGAATTGGCCCGCAGTTGTCAACTGGTGGGTTTGGAGGAGGTGCACGGGTCAACAATTGTGAACGTGCACCGAATACATCAAAAAATTGGAGCCCACGAAAGAGGGTCGCACCCCCGGGCAAAGGAAGATGAGGTCGGTCGTAGTTGAAGGCCCGCGGAGCTCCCTCCGC